CCCCCCCCCCCCCCAACCTATTCTTTAGAAGCATCTTTCGCACATGACTTCTTAGCGACCTGGGCAAGGCCCCACGGTTAGCGAAGACCCCGGGCGTGCATACTAAATGGAGTTAATTACGAATGGGAAGGTGAACGGATTATATTTTATCACTAAATATACAGGACAGCCACGAGAAGATACCTACTGTGAACTCGTGTACATGTGAGCCTTTAAGATAAATGACTAGAGACCACCATTAAACATTTATCTCTATGAGCTTATGGGAAATAGCAGTCTTAGCATCAGGGCTACAATAAGCCAAGGAGTGCAGTTTGAATATGAGTGAGTATTAAGTCACACCGGGTTGTAAAGAGGTTTAAACAGCATTGGCACGTATTCATTTATATGCTTTCTTTTGCTTTGCAATCAACCAAGGTAAAAAACAACATTGGCAAATATTCATTTATATGCTTCAGTTAATCTTGGTATATCATTACGATCAATCAAATCACTATAACGAATGTTATTACAGAATGGCACAATGGAGAAATGTCTGCCGTAAGTGGCAAAGGAACGTTTCATTGAAAATATTATGCTTTTAAAGCTATTGTTGAATAGTTAAATTTGATTGAATGCTTTTTTTTCTTTTAGCAAGCTTCAGAGAAGTAGAAAATAAAAGAAATGGTCTTATAGCACTGTTTGCCATGTGAAAGCTTAGAGTCGTTTCACAAAAGCTTTGGCTTACCCGGGGTATACGGCTTCTTGGTCGTGTTCTGGGGGCGGGGTTTCGTGCGAATGATACTTGGATGACGGATCGGCTGCGTCGTTGTTATAATTTCAGTTATCGTTGTCTCTGGCTCTGTGGTTGGAATCTCTGTAGTTGTGGTGGGCACAGTTGTGGTAGAACGCTCAGTGGTAGCTTCAGTGGTAATGCTGACTACTTTATCAACCCACCAATGAGAGCTTGTTATTGTGGGGTTACTAGTCGTCGTCGACTCATGGCTTGTCGGATGCGATCGTTCTTTTTCAACCTCGTACCCATCCGACGATCCCTGCCCGTCATCTAAACCGACGACTACAACCTCTTGGGGCATTTTCCTGTGCCGAAACCTGTTCCTCATGGCGCGACTACTGTGTGGTCTGGAAGAGATAAAGTTTTTGTGGAATTTTAGATGGCTATGAGGCGCCGACCGTTCAACGTTCAGGTTTTGTTCTTTTTCCTTTGCCCGCCATTTATTGCTGGAGTCACTTGTGTGCGTGGGTCTAACGTGTCGATTTCTACCCTTTAAACGGTATCGTGGACTCTGTCGAGTTGTTTCTATGTCTTGAACAGAAGTAACGGTTGTTGTTCTAACGGGATCAGCAGCCATCGTCGTCTTAGTGCCGTATCTGTGACGCGGCTGCTTTATCCCCTGAACTACATAGCCTGCATAGCGGTATCTGTTTCCATAATTCAAGCGCCTACCTCCATCATAATAGTATTTTTTATCTTGTCTGGGAGCACTGGGGTAGACATGTTGAGTGGTTGTGGGGTACTCGCTGCTTTGTTCTGAAGACGCTGTGGTTAACTGAGTCGTGTGCTGTACGCTTATTTCACTTTGAGCTAAAGATTGGCGAGACTCATGTCTGTTGATAACACTGTGCGCCCGTCTCCCTGTCGGGATTTGTGTACGACTGACACAGTCGTCCCATCTCGACTTGACGGGGACACAGTTGGTCACACGATTGGACCAGACATGAGAATCAGGGCAGGTCATGACAGCTGCTACCCTGCGTCGCGCGCACACGAAGAACACAGTGCAATTCTTCTCATCTCGAACCCAGTGAGTTTTCACTGTCTGGCACGGGCTTTGAGACTTGTATGTTTGAAGAGTGACTTTGTCCGTGAGCCGAGTGTATGAGCTGAACGTACTGGCCCTAGGTGATCTGTTCTTTCGGCCGTATCGAGATGGTCTATGCCTCGTCACGCTCTTTTGTTTTCGCTTTGCTATTGCTCTCTCTCGCTGGGTATAAGTATGGGACAGCTCATGAACGTTGGTATTTTTAAGATAATCTTTTGCGTTGCCATCTTCAAGAGGAAGTTTCATGTGATCAAGAGGAGTTGGCTTTTTTTGTTGCCGATACGGTGACCGGTAGTCTGAGTATCTTTGCACTTTCTTCTGACTTTGTTCTAACCGACTTTGTCGTCTCCTGTCCCGAGTACTTCGAACACTTTGGTGGCCTTGATACATAAACCTGTTGTTCAGTGTAGGAGAACTTTTGTACTTCGTTTTCTGAGGACCAAAGGGAGACCTGGAAGGGGGCCTATATGTGTATGCAGTTTCAGCAACAGATGAAGACGCTCCATGGCTATTAAGCTCCGCGCCACGAATGTGAGAATTTGGACGATAGCCAAGTCCCCGATGAGCAATGAAAGGATTTCTATTATGCGCACAAACAACTGGCAGCACCAAAATTAACAAAGTGAAAAGTTTGAAGTAGCTCAAAGCGTAGCCGCTAGTGAAACTTATACTTGATTCCTTTCTGTCAGTGGCACACGCACTGCCACATTGAATCAATACATAATTGCGGTGAAAATTAAATACGTTTTTCATTGTTCCTCGCACTTTTGAGTTTCCCCGTCTTCTTCAGATGAGAGAAATACTAAGATTCATAAGAAATTTCGACGAGGATTGTGATCCTACAGCACTAATGCTTGTAGCATAATTAAATTAGGTGCAAGAGAACTATTTCGAAGGCAGTCTCTCTTTTCCAAATGGATTTTGCTCGAACAAAAAAGTATATATCTCAAACGAATGTACACAGCATTTCGACATCAATGTTTCCTTTCTCCTTCATGAAAAACCAGATGGTCTCCGCGAAGTGATCACCAATGTCCTCGCGTCCCATGTGCACAGACGAACTCTGGCTTTCCTACAGACGGCTGGATAAAGGAGCGACACGGTGTTAAATACTGAGCCTAGATGCTGAATCTCTCCTTCCGGTTACATGACCCCATTTTCCCTCACCGCCCTTTGAACATCAACTTTCAAATTCAGTAAGTTTACATGCGTGTTTCATTAGCGTTGTTAATACGGCTGGGAGCCCGCCCTCTCTCCACAAACTGTCCCGTGGTTCTCCTCATGCGCCCCCCCCCCCCCCCCCTCAACCCCAACCCCATTTCCTCCCGTCGTCCCCTGGTTCTCGATTGTGTGCAATCTATTTTTTGACCATGATCAGCCCAAAGCTCCAACTCTTCCCACCTCACTTTTTGCCTTAACAAATCCTTTTTTTTCCTCGTCTGGTCGGAACTCGCAGATGGCGAGAGACGCGAATTTAGAAGGAGAAGAAGGGGCTGAGGGGGAAAGAGTGTCGACACAGACTTAAGGAGAAGTTGGTCAGCCAATGTCACAACTGTTTGTTGAGGGCTCAGCCCAGTTTGTAGCGTGCGACAAAACAAACACTGGAACCCCCGGGAGCAGAGAGACAAGTATTTCCTAGCACTTGTTTTTGTTGCAACGAAACGGACGCTACGATCGCGTGTGTCTGAACAAATACTGCAACGCCAGTTTTAACTTGTCCCGAAGAGCGTCTTCACAAATATCTCAGTCTAAATATATTGCCGACCAGAGATCTCTATAAGAAACAAAAAAGACATGATACATTTTCATTGCAAAAGTGGCTTAGCAGGCTAGTGCTTGTACCAAAAAACTCTTATCCGCGACACACTGGGATGTTGTTCATAGATAAGTTACTTTAAGACCAAAATACATGATTGTCCACGCACTCTCCTCTCATAAAAGAAAGTAAACAAACAAACAGCTATTTCTGTAGCCAATTACTGTTTTAGTAACCTGAGAAAATACTAATCTTGTTGTTTCGTTTTTGCAAGATACATTATTGTACAACCTCAGCAGCAGGGATCTTTCGACTTTTTCACTAAAAATAAAATTACTCATTCAGCTGATCTGAAAGCCTATGTTTTTAACGATACACACACAAACAAACAAACACACATACACCCCCTCCCCCCACACACCTAAACACATGCACACACATAACTGTTCCACGAATATGCTACTTGGTACAATGGTTGCTAGAAAGGATGAAACGCGATAGGGGATGCTGTAAAAGTGGGGAAGATGGAGCTGAGGGAGTAGCCGTTAAAAAGGTGATGCCCTGCTTTCAGAAACCAGAACAATATAACATAGCAAGACTTCCTAATTGAATTGAGATTATAGATTTTGGGAGCACAGGAACGATGAAAAATGATGCTAGTGCAATTGCTGCTTCAAAGAAATTGTATCAATATCATCTTTTAAACCTTGGAGAAGGCAAAAAAATTAACCTGTTCAATTAAGAGAAAACCTAGACCCTTTCACGAAAGTTTTATGGGTGGCAAACACAAATTAGTTTAGCTTAACTATGTAACATGTCAGTGGCCAGTGACAGAAACGTAGCTCGCGCGCGGTGCTTACTACAATTTCAGAATTGGCTTCAGATGCTCAGTGAGAGCGCAAATAACTGCAGAGCATGACTGGAGCACAGAATTCCCAAGGCCTTTCTTTCTATTTCCATCGCTGCCGTCTTGCTTTCTTGTTGATTTCCCCCAAGAGATTCCTTCTCAAGCAATTACAAAAAATCAACAAAAAATTGGAGGGAAAGTTTGTTCGAGACGTTAGCCGTTTCTACTTGTGGCCTGGTCGTCACGCTGGGCTAGTCGGTTAAACACGTTTCTTTGCCTTCCGCGGGGCAGCAAAAGGAAGGTGTGGCCTGGATCGAATGGAACGCCCTGTTCTGTCAAGGGCATGGAGCTTTCAAGAACAACACTCGCTACTGCTTACATTGCCGGAAACAACAACATGGACAACATGAACAGCGAAGCCGCTCTAGCAGACCAGTCCGGTTGATTCTCTTTTTACCCCCCCCCCCCTTTCCAAAAAAAAAAGAAAAGCAAAATAAAAACAAAACATCAACTCCAAAACAACAACAGTAACAGCAACAAAACTCAAGAAAAAAGCAACAAACAAACTAAAAAGAAAAGTCGAAAGCGTGCTGGATATAGCCGAGCATTCTACCAGACTCCCATTGTTCCATTGTTTAGAATCCACCATCTTGTTTTCATAGAGCATTGACTACACCCTTGTGCAGGTTTTTTATCTTGTGTTGTTGTTGTTGTTAATGTTGTTGTTGTTGTTGTTGTTGTTGTTGTTGTTGTTGTTAATGTTGTTGTTGTTGTTGTTGTTGTTGTTGTTTTAGCCAACGCATCTTTTTAAAAGAAATTCAACATCCTTCTTTTCCTGATTTTTAAAGTCTGATTTCATCTTTCGACATGTGCATTATTTTGTGGATATTTTCTTCTGTTAGCTTTAGTTCCCAGCTAATTTAGGTAGGTTAACGGGCATGACGTTTCACAAGCTTTTTCTTTCTTTATGTGTTTTTACGCTCCCATCGACACAATTTAAATCATTTAGGAGGCAGGAGATACAACATTCCAGCAGAAAGACCGAGATACGTGATCAAAAAAAAATTGTAAGGCAGCATGGTGGAATCAGGCGCTCGTCAAAATAATCAAAGTGAAGAAACTTGCATTTTTCCGCAGATTTGTGAATTTTTATCAGATTTTTGTTTTTTGGCTCAACACATTTCATGCCCATTAAAGAACTCATTTCTGTAGGATTTTTCTTAAAAAACGTTGATTAAACTCACAAAAAATTGTAAATTTTCAGTTACCAGGGACTCTTAAGCTAAGGAAATAACCAATCTTTGGGGGCCATTTTCTCACTAATTTTACCTCTGGAAATAGGTGACCCCACCTCCTTCGTTCGCAAATATCTCGACTTGTACTCAAGATAAATTGATATTTTTTTCCTTTTGAAATAAAGACAAGTGAACAAGCTTTAAGATGGCACCAATAACTCTACGTGCCCAAAAATTGACGAGAGCCTGATTCAACCACGCTGCCTCACAATTTACTACCCACTCGGGAATCGAACTCGGGTGCTTGCACGGAACATCGAGGCGCCCAAGCGCTACCCAACAGAGTTTACAGTTTAATGAGTTTACAGTGTTCGCCTTTCATTCAATAGGTCCTGGGTTTGAAACCTGACAATGACAGAAAATGTCCCTCTCTATAAAATTCTCCTTTCACGTCATTTCCTGCTCTCCAACCATGTTCTGTCGTCTGCTTTCGTCTCCACTTCCTCCTTTGCTCTCTCTCTCTCTCTCTCTCTCTCTCTCTCTCTCTTTTCTCTCTCTTTTCCCCTTGCTTGCGGGCCCCCCAAACCCCCGGGCCCCGAGGCATTGGCCCCCCCTGACCCCCCTCTCGACAGGCCTGAGTGTGTGGTTTCTGCTTCTATTTGCGAGTGTAAAAATACATCTAGATATTAACACTGTTTTGGCATCGTGTCCGTCTTCACATTGTGTTTGACCTTGACCTCAATACTCAGATGTTCTGTTTACACGGGGTGCCTATTGGGCGATTGGGTCTGGTCGGGGCGGGTTATAGATAGATTGAGGGCGTGTATGTCTGGTCTAACAGAAGGGGGGGGGGA